ATGTGAGGCTGCAGCAGTTCCAGGCAGGAGCCACCTCCGTGGCCATTACCACCAAGGTGAGGTGCCCTCTGCCCTCCCAGCAGCAGTGGGGGGAACAACTGTCAGGTGATCACCACATAGGGGCATGGCCCTTGGTGCCCCAATGACATTCACCTGCTTGTCACTGGTATGAAAGCCCTGGCCAGTTGGTGAGACTTTGGGGTCCTCCTAATTCTCACCTACCATGACTTGATGCATCATTTATTTTCAGGAGGGGTATTTGTCCACCTGAGTCCAACTCTGGACACGGATGTCCACCAGTGAGCTCGGCTCACAAAAACAACAAAAGAAAATATAACTAAGCTGGTTTTTCTAAATATATGTCACTAAAAGATATATGATCAAAATATAAAAACAAGAAGAAGATTCTAATGCTGTATCACTTTATTAAGCAAGTGCACCTGAGTAAACTGGAAAGTTAACATATTATCCTGTGGGGAGCTTAAACAAAGAAAATGGAAATCATAGTGTGAAAGAAAGTGTATATCATATAGTCAATTGGTTTGCATTAAAGGCAACAAACCAAACCAGTTAACTACAGCAGGGAACTTCTCATCAGAAAGACTCAAGTAATTTTTGAGATACCAACTCAAAGCATTTTGAAAGCTCATACAGAAATATTATCCATGTACTACTATTCAGGGAAATAAACACTGCAAGGTCCAGGATAGTGATCCCTGTAGATAGGCGGTATGGCAATTCAAATAAAAACTAAATCGGGGCAGGCAAACTATGGCCTGCAGGCTGAATCCAGCCTGCCAAGCACTTTCATCCAGCCCACAGCGCACCACAACAAATAGGACCCTGCCCAGCCCTTCCGCCCATGAGGGTAGGAGTGAGGCACCCACGTGTATACACACACCCAAACATACCCTATTGTGCCTGACTCCCACCCTCATGGGGAGAAGGGCCTGGCCCAGCTAGCATGCAGCTTCCAGGCACGGCTGCTGCTGCCGCAGCCCCCGGGGAGCTGCTCCACTTCCCCAGCCTCCTGCTTGCTCTGTGCAGCTCGTAGGGAAGCAATGGTGGGGGAGGGTAAGCTGGGCAGGGCTGGTGGCAGCATGAAGTCTGCACCCACAGGGTGATGGCAGCACAGATGGCTGAGGGCGATAGCTCAGCCACACTGTGTGTGGGAGGTTTGGGGGTGTGGGAACCCCCACCACACTCCCCCACATGGTGTGCAGCCACTGGCAGCAGCAGCACCAGCAGACGGGGGTACTCAGGGCACTCGTGTCTGGCACAGGTGCCTGACAAGGTACAGCTCTGCCCACTCCTGCGCATTGCAGCGAAGGGCACAGCCTCCACTGGGCCGTCTATATTGTTGGTGCTCCCCACTCGCACAGCATGGGAAGGAAGCCCTGTCCACTGGAGCCAGCTGCCTTCCCTGCCGGGGCTGTGAAGCACAGGAGGGGAGCCCAGCCGCCTTCCCCTGGGGAGTGAGGAAGGCAGCTGGCCCCTGCCAAGAAGAGCCCCGTGCAGCCTCAGATGCAGCTTGCCCAGCCCAGATCTGCCCTGTGCCCTCCCAGAGTGCAAGCAGCAGCAGCAGGAACTGCCTTGCCATGAGTTGTGGTTCCGCCCCCTCGCCCACCTGGGCAGTGCCTGCCTCTGCCCCCTCCCTCACTGTGGGGGGGTGTTGATCAGCACCCGCCTACGCCCCTTTCCTCTCCTCTCCCCTTCCACCACATAGACTTACCAGCTGGAGGCAACTCTCCAAGCTGCCGACTGTGCTCCTCACTGCCTGAGTGCTGTGCTGTGGCTGTGTACAGCACGGGCATTTGTTGGCCAAATTATCAGCCCCATTGGGCCGATATCCGAGACAGCCAGTTTTCTTTATATTGGTACCTATCCAGTATCAGACTGATGTATTGGTGCATCTCTAGATCTAAAAACATATACCTACTTTTTACAAAAAAAGATGGGGTACTGAAGAAAGCAATGTTTTGAGTGCACTGAAACTGCATATAGATTACTCCCCTATTGTTGACATGCCATTAGGGCAGTGGTTTTCAACCTTTTTTAATTCAATGCACTCCTTGTTAGATTTGAGGCATCCTCAGAAAATGCTAGCTCTTAGCTTTTACTCTTTTTTGGTTACAGACAAATAGAGCAGTTCTTCTGTTGCAAACAGCTAAGACCACAACTGGTAAGAATGTTTTTAACATTATAGATTCCTACTGGAAATCTCCGGTTATATCTTGTGAATCATGGGTAAGTGTATGCTTAACAGTGGTAATATTGCATGACACTCTGCATCACTGTCACAGGATGTCACTACACCCTGGCTTAGAATCATTGTGTTAGGGCGGCCATCCGTGAAAAGCCAAGTAACAGATTAAATTTGAATAATGGGCCAAGATCGGTGATTCTTAACCAGGGTCCTGTGGCATGCTGAAGTGCCTCAAGATTCTTCCAAGGTTGCCACAGGGGGCCACCCAATGTTAGCACTGTGTGCGGACATGATTCCCAAGATAATCCCAGAGATTTCAAATAGGAATTTATAGTATTAAAAACAGTCTGTCCTATTGCGGGGCTTTCTGAGCTCTTTGCAACAGAAGACTTACTCTGCTGTTTTTCCGTAGTCAAAAAATGAGTGAAAAATAAGAGCTGATACTTTCTGAGGTGCTGAGAACCACTGCCCTTGATAGTAGAGCCTGAAACCATGTCAGAAGCAGCAGATAGTCACTGCAGGAGGGGAAAAAACCCAAAAATAGTATCTGTGCGCTCTTTTAAAAGGCAGTGGAAAGTGGCTGACCGGTTGGATAACAAAAAAAAAAAAAAAAATCACAGAAACCCCCCCACACAAACTACTGTAGGTTGCTTTCACCTACTGCCATGCATCTATACTGGAGTTACTGAATACATGAATACTCAGATGTTTACAGGAAGAAATTACTCTTTTTATTGCCTTTTTAAATCTGCTAACATCTAAATAATGAGGAGAGGCAAGTATCTGACTAAAGTGGAAGAAATAATTAAGTAAAAACTTAGTTCTAGATATTTAAGCTTTAATTTCATTTTTGGCTTCATGCTATTCTTCCCACATTCTTTCAAATAGGAGGAAAGAACAAGGGTCCAGGAATCAGAGAAAGAATAGAAGAAATAATTAAATGTGGAACTGAGGAAGTATTCAGAAATGTAGAGATGTTGTAATTTCCAGATTCATTTCAACTGTTAATCCAACCTATTTAATTGTTCATGTTGCAGTTACCTTCATATTATCTAAGATTAAATAATTAAAGATCAGTGAAGGAAATTAGTATAAATCTCAGGCCTAAAACATAAGCCATTTAATCCTTTCCCTTCCTCATCTCCCACTACCTAACCCTACCAGAACCTAACCCATCATTTTCCACCTAAACCTCAGATCGGGAATGCCCTCCCCCTGCTTTTTCTGTTTTCTGTGTGGTACCGTTGCATCCATTTGTACATCCTCTCCTTGTTGCTCCTCATCCCCATGTTTCCTTTTCATTCTACCTCCTGCTCTTCTTTCTGTACCCTGACCCTTTTAATTCCTTCCTGTCTCTAGCCCACTTCCAGTCAGGAACTCTAAAGTTGTTCCCAGTTCCAACAGTGCCAGTTGTTTGCTTTGGGCCCTCCTATGCACACAAATCTCCTCCTCCAACTCTTACAGATTGTTCCCAGGCTAGTAGAGAGTCTCAATCTATTTCAGCTGCTCCAGATTTTAGTGACTTGAATGAGAACACAGCAGAGGTCTACCACATACCTTTCTTTTCTTATCCTTACTACATCAAAATACATGACAGTACCAAAAATAAGGGCTATCCTAACCCAGAGCTCTAATGAAACCAGCAAATCAGTAGAGATTAATACCACTGAATGGTTTTATTAAAGATTAGATACCTGCACCTCTAATTTAAAGTCCTGAAACTAAAGCTTTAAAAACTAATGCTTTTTTTTTTATTTTTAAAGTTGTAGGTAGCCTTCTAGAGAGTGAATTTATACCTTTGGAGTTTCAAAAATTATCAAACATTCATTCAGGCATTCTTGTACAATAAACGTTTTTCTAACTTTTTCTTGAATGTTTGGTTGATACTTCTGATACCAACAATGTTGATATTTCTCCTTTAGGTCAAGGGAAATATTTTCATGCCATATCTGAAGTTGATCGAGTAGCTCATCAACACCTATTCACTTAGGACTATTTCTAGGATTATTCACTACTTTTGTATTCTAATCATATTACTGTAGGAAAGAAAATAAAATCATAAATACTCCATCTACAAGAGAAAAGTGACCCAGCTATTAGCATTTCTAAGCCTACTATGACTGACAACTAGCAAGCAGTGTAGATCTCGGTAGTGAGGAATTGTGTCTCTAATTTGCTTTTGTTCTTAATACTAAAAATGTCAGTATCTAAACACTCCCCCAACCCCCGATTTTAAAGTTTAATTTAATATACTAGTTGTTGATTGTGCACTAACCATTCTCAACACACTTTAGAAAATCATGTGTCTCTAAAAAACACCCCCACATAGGTGTGGCCCTTACTGCAAAGCTCATTTTAATTACAAAGCAACGTTTCCTTAACTGTGAACCTCTAATGACGTTTTTTACCTAGCAAGTCCTTGGCCCATCAATTCTTAAAGTTTCAGGATTTTCTCCCATTTTTTAACCATTTATGATATTTCTTTTCTTGGTACCAATGCTGGCTTTCGAAAGGCATGGTTTTTAATTGTAATTGTGCCTATGCTGGAACATACAGAAGACTACTTTTCCAAAGTAGCAGTCATAGATGACAAGTGGTTTTCTAGTACGGCGTAAACAAATTCATACCAACAAAACTGATTATAATCACTGTTGTAGCAAGTACTTCATTTTTACCTGTAAGAGCAATCTATAAGTCATTCAAATCTCACAATTATAGGCAGACAGATATTCACATTTTAGCTAAGTGACAAAATACTGCTATATAATGTACGGAAAAAAAAAAGACTGCCTACCTTTCTGATAAAAGAATTTCCGATAATAATATGCACCAAGGTCCACATGTTCAACAATATATCTTTTCACTCTGTCTAAATGTAAAACCAGATTATCCTTGGGTACTTCAAGTACTGCCACTCCCGCATTTGTGCAATGGGAACTAAGCGTAGACTCAAAAGAGGCACTTTCACATCCACTGAATGAACCCGAATTGGATTTGGACAGGCTGATCTTCCTCTCTCCTTCCCCACCAATCTCATTACGAAAATAAGGACAACTCATCACAAGTTCATTACTTTTATCATCCCCCTGGTCCATATTGAGACTTCCTTTTGAATTCAGGTCTTCAGTACTGCCCATGGGAGAATTGAAACTTGCAGAATGAGACAAGGGTCCAGAAACCAAGGATGCGACAGCAGCAGCAGAAGCTCCTGTTGTGGTGTTCCGTCTTTTAATAACGTTATGTCTATTGATTGCTGCTTCATTCAAATCAAATAATATACTCTGGACATCATAATGGGCAAAACATTTTGGACAAGTCCAAGGTCTGACACTATCTTCAGACCTGTTATCTTCAAGATCTGAAGACTTTCCAAGTTCCCCTTCACCTTTGGCATTACGCAACTTACGAAAAATAGAAGAATCCCCTGTCTCTGACTTTGAGCGTCTCTTAAGTGGTTTTTCCCTTTCCTTAAAGAGTCGGAGGTTCTCTCTCTGAGTAATAGGCCCATCTATCACATCCAAAGAGAATCCTGAACCCTTGCTTCCACTGGCTATCAGAAGTTCACTGAGCTTGGTTGCGGCTGGGCCTCTCTGATCAGACTTATCATCTTTATAACCCTTTAATAAATCAAAAAAACTATCCCCTGAAGTTCCCTGCTTATCTATTGAAGATGTGCTGCCATACTCCCTATGCAGTGATGGCCCAGATTTAAAAGTTGGTGAAATACATTCATCAAAGCTATCCACATCAAGCTCACTTATGGTAATATCACTGTTGCTGCGCTGTCTTATTCTGCGAAGAGCTTTCCTAGGGGAACTGGGGTATCCATCAGGTGTTAGAAACCGAGAATCTAGGTTCTCAGATTGTCTTGTTTTGTTTTTAAGGGTGTTCTGGATACTCTTTAACATGACAGAGTCGCTAGCGTTCAGATTTACAGAGCTCCCCTGACTCCCAGGACTACTTTTAGAAGACATACTATCAAGGCAGCTTGATGTTTCAATTTCCTGACTCGATCTACTAGTTTCTTTGATGTTGTCCTTCCTTGGTGGCCAGTCAGCAATCCTTGCTCTTACTCCCATTTTAGGAACACCAGGAGTAGAGGTAACATGATGGGAACCTTCATTTCGTGGAGGTCCAACAGGAGCCATGACTGCAGATCCTAAGCTGCCATTCTGAGACCTAAAGCGCCTCATGTAAAAGTCATCTGAATGGACTTTAGAAGTGCCATCTGTTCCAACTGACACTCCAGTGGCAACAGCCCTCTCAGTCTGGGACCGCTTTAAGCTGGTCATGATTTGAAAATGTGTTTAACCTTAGTAAGTTCCAAGAAAAAACAGAGTCATGTCTGCTTTTTAAATGCACAATTCCCTTTTGGAGAATAGTTTCCAAAAAATACAAAGGTTGCATGAGATCCCACTCGTGGTCATTTAAGGAAGTGGTTAACAGAGAGATGCATGAAAATCAGGTCTTCAGTATATTTTGATATGGAATAGCCCCTTCAGCTTCTGCATTTCAACAGCCAGCCAAGTTCCAGTATGTTTTGACTGTCTTAACATCACTTGGGTTCCAAATCTTCAATTATTATAATCCAATTGTTTTATGCCTATTTTAAGCCTGGGGAAGAGAAAAACAGAACTATTAGGAATTTTATGTAATTTATTTCACAAGCAGTTACTAAATGAGTTCCTACACAGAAGCAGGCATCTAAAAAACATTCAATTTTTACACTTCTTCACTATATCTCAAAAATACACAATGGTGGTAGTGCAGGAGTCTCCAGGTAAGCCACTTACTAAAAGGATATTGTTTCATTTTGGAAGAGGCATTTAAGAAAAATCCCTTCTTGCTGAACTAATAGTGTGTTATAGCTTGGTTGCTAGAGAGTTATACAAACAAAAGAGAGCAGATTTCTTCAGGTGTACAATTCTGAGTGCAGTCATGATATTCTATTAATCTTCACTAGGTCACTAAATATGTCAGTGTGATAACTATTACCCTAAGCAAGTGAGAAGCACATATACTGCAGAAATAATTTTTACTGGACAGACAACACGCTAGCTAAGTTAGACAACTAGAATTCTTTTAAAGGTTGTAGCAAGACTAATGTTAAGATAGAAAGTCATTAGACATTAATATCCCTTGCTCACCCTTTGTTACTTCTACACCATTATTTACAATAACGAAATTGTAGAAAGCTAATGATATTATAAAATGGTTCTATTGTAGATGGCAAGTGTTTCAGTGATATTCCATGACTTGTCTAATTTGCACAGCAACTGAATACTTCAGAAAATAAGTAGCATCCCCTCAACCCTGTCTTCACAAATGCTGTCCAAATGTATTCCCACACGCACACTTCTGCATAACCTGATAGGGAAATCATTTACTCATTTCACTTTGTGACAAAATATTGCAGAAGAGTTCTTCTACATTTCATTTCCACAGGGCTATTGAAATTAAATGCTCTCCCACACCTCATCAGCAATGGAACTGATTACAAAGCATTATATTATCCCTTGAGGAGCTAAAAAACTTCAGCAAGTACACCCTGGTTGGTATGAGACAAAGGCATGAGTTTGTCAGCATAAAATCTGTATTGCTGTGTTCATCCTTTAAAACAATGAAGTAGATAGTTTTCAAAGGCTCAACCAATTACACAAAATGTGGCCTTTAAATACTTGCCAGATATGCGTGGAAAGATGCTGCTGAACCAGCATCAAGTTGACAGGGCAGTATTGTCTATGAATCAAGCCTTCTGACGCTTCTAGGAAAACCAGTACTTTCTGCCTTCTCTTCTCAAAAGAGTACTTACTTCCACAGTAATTAAATATCCAGCCAGAACAGTTTCTGCCTCCAAAGGCAGCATGTTTTAATTCCACTTGCACTAGATAGCATGGGCTTGAAACAGCAGCTGCTATTTATATGAAGCTGAACATTTAAGGATGTTTAAAATGCCAGCCAACTGCAGTACACATGGCAAAAGCAGTGCAAGCAGTTTGTGGTGCTGCTGAATCTGTGCAGCCATTCAGATAAATACAATCATTTCCCTAGTAATTCTCCTTCATCCACTATTGTTAAAGGTATAATAGTTTTCCATGCCTAAATAATTAAAACAGTTAAAGGAACTCTTGAAGCTTGGCCTGGCTACTTTAATCATAAAATTACTGAATTTTTGGTATTTTAAGCCACGCACATTTCAAACACTATTTAGCTTGAAAACCAAATCGACTTCTAGACAATTAAAAGTAAAACAGATACAATATGCATATAAGTTATACTGGGGGATGAAGTAATTCAAGTCTTGACCATAATCACAAAATAGATCAATGTTTTTCCTACAGCTGTCAGCAGTGAAACAGAAAATATGTTTACAATGTAAGTTCTAAGATGTGGAAACATCATCTGCTTGTAAAGAGTCCTTTGCTCTTATTAAGAAAGGATGAGAGAAAAAGAAACCAAGAACAAGAGAAATAAAAGTAGAAGAGGGTAGACAAGGAAAATGAGACCGGAACAAGGAGAAAGGGATGGAAGAGGAGGAAAGACAGAAACAGGAATAAATTGGTGAGCACTCGCAAGTGGTCAAGCTTGCAGTTTGGAGGGAAACAAGCAGAAGTCTGTCCCCATCGCAACGCATTCTCCTCCAGAGTCTGAAATGAATCCAAGATTCCTGACTCTCACCACTCCTCAGCTCTCATCAAATATTTGTGAAACTCACTGGCAAATTGGCACCTCACTTCCCTCAAGTGCTGATCCACACAGTGGATGACAAACCCGTTATTGCTACCAGACATTCCATTGGCTGAAGTAGCACAAGTTTGTATGATGGCTTAAAGAATTGGGAAACTATGGGATGAACTATGAAATGATACTGCATAGCACTTCTTTGTTCTTTTTTAAAAACCTAAGAAATAACACAGGGGGGAAACCCATTATCAACAACAAGGTAACTGGCAGAAGTACATTTAATGGCGCAATGGGAGCTGATCCCCGACCCCAACAATCGCACCTCCTGCCATGCCACAAGTGTATGGCAGGAGGTGTGATTGTAATCAAGGATTAGATGATAATCCCAATCATGCCATTACTATTTGCCAGTTCAGGGCAGCCTGGGATCATAATCCCAGAGTCCCCCTGCACCAGCAAAATGAAAGAGGTATGCCTGCAGGTCCAGCTGGACCAACAGTCACCATATTGTCAGCTGGCCCCTGGGAGCCTACCAGGGACTCAAACAGACTCCAGTGCTCTCTGGGGCCCTGGGTGACAATCAGCTGATTTCTGGCCCCAGCTGCGACAGCTCTTAGTCCAGTTCAAGACTGGGGCTGTCCAGGCTGACAATCAACTGAATGTCAAAATCCCATGGCCAGCAGATCTGGCCAAGCTGCCAAGAGTGGGGGATTAGAGCCTCCCAGCCGGGAGGTAGGGATGGCAGGGAGTAGAAGGGCTTCTCCTGCTGAGGAATTTAAACCCCACTGGTAGCCTCTGATCCTCCACACCTGAGCTGCTGAGCATGAGATTTAACATCCCTAGTGGAGAAGCCACCTCAGAGGCACTCTCTAAAAATCCTTGTGTGCTGTGACCTACAATGCAGGATATGGGAAGTTGGGAGCTCCCAGCTCCCTAGCCCCATACTGTGAAGCAGCATCTGCACGTGTGAAGCAGTGCCTAAACTGCTGCTTCCATGCATGTCCTAGGACCGTAAAAAAGTAGGCATGCAGCTAGGGCTCCCAGGTCCTGGGCTCAATGACTCGGAGATTGGGGACACACTCCCTGATGTCAGGCTAAGAGCATCTCCTGCCCCTTCTGCCTTAGGGAACTGGACAGGAGTGTCAGGTCCAGAACCTAATTCTGCCCCAGTCCAATCCAACTGACTGGGTACAGGGTGGCCATATCCCCAACCCTGGGGCTGCATCCTGCCAGATCTCTATGCTCAACTGAACCTTGGGATCCATCACAGGGCAGCCCTGACATGTCGCACATTCACTTTAAGGTGCGATACAAACGAGCCACGAGGAGGTTACACATTATATGTATAATACCTTTGTGGCTTGTTTGCTATATTAGTATGCCATAAATTAGCTTTAATGTGTTGCATGATTAACAATCATGCCTTAAATGTAATGTGTGCCAGGGTCCTAAGTTTACACAATCAAAAACTCCAAAGTTGCCATGCAAACTTATTTTGGCCCTTTTGCACAGATAATAATAGTCTTCAGTGGCATGATCTCATCCTATATTTTCCATGGGGTCCCTGTCTTATTCACTATACTATGGGGATGAGCTAGAGCTATATAGCAAAGACGTCAGTTTGCTACAGGTCCCTACTTCAGTTGCGCTCAGTGTTTTGGCCTCACGAGTGAGAAGAACATTGCGAGGCTGGTCTGTGGGCCAGACAAAGCCCCAGGCCACCCCAATCAGCCCTGTGTGCCTGATGTAGCATAGAGGTCCATGCTATTCAGTCCACAAGGTTCCCCACAGGTCCAGCAGCAGGAAAGAAGCAATTAATGCTGCCACCATTCCCCTGCCACCAAAATTTCAAGCCTGTGGGAAGCTCCGCACATCGAATGATATGGCTCTGCGGGATATGGGTAGAGTACCTCTACCCTACTTCATTTGTTGGAGAAGTCAGAAGACATATATTAAATGAAGTAAACTGACGGAAGAAAAAAGGATAATCTTATTTAAACAACTGTAGGCTCCTCTGAAAAACTGGATTTGTCTTTGGTTGTTCATCACAGAGCTCCCAAGTGCTGCTAATCAAAGTCCTAAACCAACATTTTCAGAGGTGGTCATGTATTCTGTGCCCTTCTTTGTCCAGATGTCTGACTTGAGAATTGGGGTCTGTTTTGCAAAAGTACCTCAAATAAGTAGGAGCTGTGCTATGAATATAAAGTACTGTTTTATGTGAGGTTAAATACACTGAAAAATCACCATACCAAGCATCTCAAAATTGGACACCTAAATTAGTAGACAGGAGATCAATCTATTCCTTGCAGGTAATGAAAATGAGGAACTGTCAAGAGACCAAAATGTCAGAGAGGTGTCTGAACAAGCTGCATTTGAATTGAAACAAGTCTAGTGGTTAGATGGCATTGATGAAAGAATTGTGAAGAAAATAAAGAACGATGTGGCTGAGTTGCTAACACAAAATGTGCAATCTTGTATTAAAATTAGCTAGGAGTATAGAATAGCCAATATTGTACCCATCTTTGAACAAAGATGACAGAGGTGATCCTGGGAATTAAGAGAATCTTGCTTCATTATGTAAATTAGTTGCAACTATAATTAAAGAGAGAATTGTAACCACTAGATGTTTACAAAAAGCCTTAGCTAAAATTCTCTCACTAAAGACTATTAAGAAAAATAAGCAATCACATTAAAATTATAAGTAGTGATATTATTCATATCAGAAACCAGTTAAGAGATTTAGAGAGAGAGAGAACAAATGATTAGTTCCAAAAAAAAAAAAAGCCCTAGATGTTGATAGAGAGATACCGCAAGAACATGGGCAGATATAGGATTTTGAAAGAGGAGGGTGCACAATTAGTGTGGTGCATCATTCCTTAACACAACGCATATCTTTCTCCAGTTAAAAATAAACTAGAAGCTTTACTAAT